GAGCAGCAGCTGCTGCTGCAGTTGCTGCTGCTCTTCTCCTCAATCAAATTCTTGCCACCCTACCTGCTGTTGCTGTTGCTGCTGCTGCTGCTGCTGCTGCTTATTGGCCAGCGACAAGGTCTTCATGCAGCAGCTGAAACCTCCAGAGATAGACTTTGTCTTTGGGGTTCTCCGGCAGCAGCAACTCTTTATAAGGATACTCTCTGTTCTCCTTAGCAGCAGCAGCAGCAGCTGCTGCTGCTGCTGCTTGTGTTGCTGCTGCTGCTGCCTTCAGCGACGCAAAGTCAGGAACAACTCCTCTTGCTGCGCCACCTTTCAGGGGCCCCTGTGCGTGTGGGGCCCCCTGTGGGGCCCCACTAGGGCCCAGGGGGGCCCCCAGGGGGGCCCCCAGGGGGGCCCCCCAAGGGTCCTGCTGGGGGGCCTCCAGGAGGGCCTCCAGGGGGGCCCCCGGGGGGGCCCCCGGGGCCCCTGTGGGGCCTTCTGGGGCCCCTATTAGGAGGGGACTAAAAATGGCCATAATTTCAATTGGCTGTTTGTCAAGAAGAGGGCAAAGGGACTTGCGAAATAATCCCAAATCGAATTCATAAGTGGAGGGGAGGAAGAAGTTCTGCAGCCACAAACCCTAAACCCTAAACCCTAAACCCTAAACCCTAGCCACTCGGGCAACGCTCAGGATGAGTGCACTCAGTTGGGGGGAAACGCGGAAACCCTAAACCCCAGCGGCAAACCCTTGTGCTGCAAACCCTAAACCCTAGCCGTAAACCCTAAACCCTCGAGAAATGAAAACCCTTGAAGGCAAAGACAGCAAAGGAAACAACGAATAAAGAAACATAAAAGAAAATTGAAAACTAAAAAAATTAAAAAAACAAAAAAGGAAAAAAGAAAAGGTATAAATGAGCAAAATAAAAAAAGAAAAAAAGAAAAATCAAGAAATAAAATAAAAGAAAAAGAAAAAGAAAAAAAGAAAAAATAAAAAAGAGACAAAAAAGGGAATAAAAAACAAAAGGAAACAAAAAAGAATCAAAGAAAAGCCAAGATGAAACCAAAAAAATGAGAACAAAACGAAATAAAAAGAAATTAAAAATGAAATCAAAAAAGGAATTCAAAAAGAAATTAAAGGAATTAAAAACAGATAAATAATTTAATTAATTAATTAATTGATTAATTAATACATAATAAATAAATAAATTAATTAATTAATTAATTAATTAAAACAGCTGACCTGTGCAAAGTCCAGAGTGTAAATGTGTTGGGGATTAAATCGAATTTCTTTGAGGGTTTTCAAAGACAAAAGTTTCTTTTTTCTTTCAGAAACAGAAAGACTTTTGCTGCTGCTGCTGCTGCTGCTGCTGCTGCTCAGCAGCAACCGCGTGTCTTCTTCCACGTTGAGGCTCTGCAGCAGCGGCGGCGGACAACTCCCGCTGCACCACATTGCGCCCCAAACCCTAAACCCTAAACCCTAAACCCTTGTTTTGAGATAAGATGCAGCTCGCGCAGCCCCGACGAAAAGCTTTCGGCAGCAGCAAGCGGCCACGGGCAACAAAAAATGCTCTAAAACGCGCTAAGGGTTTACCGTTTAGGGTTTAGGGTTTCGGGTTTAGGGTTTAGGGTTTAGGCTTTAGGGTTTAGGGTTTAGGGTTTCGCTCTCACTCGGAGACGTGAATCTTCTCCGCCAGGCAAACGAGAGGAGACAGAAAAAAGGGCTCCGTGTCAGAGCAAATCTCTTCCTGCGCAGACAAACCCTAAACCCTAAACCCTAAACCCTAAAACCTAAACCCTAAACCCTTGTTTTGAAATGCAGCCACCTCAACTCCGCGTGGCGCACAGCAAAAGGAAATGACCCTTGAGGCGCTCAAGCGTCCAGCAAGGCAACTCTGTCCAACCCTAAACCCTAAACCCTAAACCCTAAACCCTAAACCCTAAACCCTAAACCCTAGACCTGCCTCGATTAAGTCCGTGAGGGTTTTGACAACTTGAATGCCCAAAGAGACAATCCAACGGGGAGGCAAATGCTGCAAGGGTTTAGAAAAAACCTGACCCGACAAAACCTCTCCTAGGCGCCACGGGTGG